GCTGCTCATTGGCATGGCCTAGGTGAGCTGCTCATTGGCATGGTCTAGGTGGCTATCTTAGTGAGGATTACAACTGCTGTAATGAAACACCATGACCAAAAGCAAATTGGGGAAGAAAGAGTTTATTTGGTTCACACTTCTACACTATTCATCGTCAAAGGAAGTCAGGAAAGGAGCTCAGATAGCGCAGGAACCTGGAGGCAGGGGCTAATGCAGAGGCCATGGAGGGGTGCTGCTTACTAGCTTGCCCCTCATGGCTTGCTCAGCCTGCTGTCTTATAGAACCCAGGACCACCAGCTTGGGAATTTCACCAATAGGCTGGGCCCTCCCCCATCAGTCACTGATTAAGAAAATGCCCCGCAGGCTTGTGTACATCCCAACCTTATGGAGGCCTTTTCTTCTTCACTGAGGTTCCCTCCCCACCTTTAGTGTGTGCCAAGTTGACATGTAACTAACCAGCATAGTGGGTGACTGGCTGGGCAGGCACAAGCTGGGTCCATTCCATGGCACTGCTGGCTTTACATGGCGGTTCCTCTTCTTCCTCAGCCATCTACCTCTGTAAGAGGACAATGCAGAACAAAGCGAGACTGGAACTGGCAGACTACGAAGCAGTGAGTACGGTGACTCCCAGGCCAGGGCGGGAGGAATGTCCACTCTGCAGCTTTGTCAAAGCCTGGGGTTTTCCTTTCTTCCCCCTGCGCTCCCTTCCAGACAGTGGGAAGGCTGTCTCTTGTGTGAATCCTTTATCGCTCCTCTCGCCATGACAGTCACATTGCATCCTTGTATAAATAACTCTCAAACTTCAACAGCTAAAAATATATGGTTCAGGTGGGTCCTGGTGGAACATACCTGTAATCTCAGCACCCAGGGAACTGAGACAGGAGTATTGTGAGTTTGAGGCCAACCTGGGCTATGCCAGCCTGGGCTATGTGGTGAGACCCTGTCTCATATGTATATTAATCTAGATAAATAAGTAAATGGCATAAAGATGGGTACAGAACTTATACAGATATTTTACCAAAGAGGATGAAAGATGACAGATAAACACATGAGAAGATGCTCAACACCCTTAGCCATCTGAGAAACAGATTGAATCCATGGTGAGGTGCCATTACACCTATATAAATGGCTAAGACGGAAGGTGTAGCTGACACTGAGTGTCAGTGAACATGTGGGACACGCTCTTTTGTGTTACTGGGAGAATGGGAAAAATGGTACATGTTTTGGCAATTTCTTATAAAGCTGAATATACAGTTACCACATGCAATCAAGTAGAGAAATCAGAACCCATTCCACATCAAAATTATCGTGTTACTGTCTATATTAGCTTTATATGTGGTGCCCCAAGGCTGAAAACAACCCAAATACATCTTAATAGACAAAGGTACCTAACTTACTAGGTACATCCAACAATGTACTTAGTACCCTAACTATATAGTTACATCCATACAATGGAATAGTATTCTGCAGTAGAAAGGAATTGATTCTTATTATACACTACTGGGTAAGTATTGGAAGCATCGTGTTGAGCGAAAGAATCCAGTCTTAAGCAATCCATCCCATTGTTTGATACTTTTACAAAGACAGCACATCTCTCACAAGGGAAAACAGATCAATAACTGTGGTTAGAGATGGGTTGGGGTATGACCATAAAGATATCCCAGGAGACTTGGAGAAGTAATGAAACTGTCCTGAGTCCTGATTCTGGTATATAACTGTATCCATGTGTTGGGCTTCACATTTTTTTTTTCTGGAAGGAAAACTGTCAGATTTTCTGTACAACAAGTTTAAGATCAAAATTTAAAATTTCACCTTTATATCCCTCTCCTGAGCTTAGTAGTAGAGACAGAATTCAAGAACAAACTCCCATCCGGAAAATAAGACAAGGCTCCCATGGCAAGGGAAGTCTCTTTCCCCGTCCACTTACCTTCCTCTATCTTTGTCCATAAGATATATTTCCTTGCAAGAATTAGACATTCCGCTTCCTCACTCTGGTCTAGCTGCAGAGTTTGAAAGGGAAAAAACTGAAGACACAAAGACTTACATCATTGTGAATATGTGTTTAACTTCTGGTTGCAGAATCTTTCCCCCACACCACGTTTCACAGGCAACACAGAGAACCAGGGAAGTTGGTTATGTGTTCATGTACCTCCCCCTGCTCCCCACACATATACTATGTGTGGTACAGGTGTTGATGAACTGAACCAACTAAAGAGTGACAGCTAGGGGACACGAGATAATGTTAAGGATAGTGGAGAATTCCTCCTTGTCAGTAGAGATCAACAGCATCGTCACACCTACCACCTTCCCGAGGTCCCTGTCTGCCTCAGTCTTCCAAAAGAAACACAGTTAGGCTCTTCTCTGCTAGGCTTTGCCTCTCCTGAATACCCATGTCCAAATCTAGCCAGTCATCTAGACCATGGCTCCCCTCACCACCACCCAAAGGTAAAAGCGTAGCCAGTGGAAAACAGAGCTTGGACATGACATGCTGCCTTCTTTGAGCCTGTTGGTATCACAGACTTGTGTTTGGGAGGCAGAGTAGAGAAGGATGCTAGGAGATTTTTGTCTAGGAGCTCAGGATCTGGTTAATGTTTGCATATCACATCGCATGTCGGACCATCCTGTGTGATTGTCTCCTAACCTGCAATAGTGTGCCTGTGACTCTTTGCATCCTGAGAACTGGGTCTCCTACCTGTGTGTCCTGATGTCCCAAATAGTCATATCACTTCTGTTTGCAAAACTGGCTGTTTAATTGCTGCATGCCCAAGGCAGACAGCTTTGCTATGACCATGTGACTTCCTAGCATGTCAGTAAGGTTCCCAGATCTTCTGTTGCTCTTGCCCAAGTTTCTGTCTTAAGGAATATATTACACTTAGAAATGACACATCAACTTCTGGTGTGTTTTATCCAGTTTTCAGGTCTTTTGTCCTACAGTGGTCTGTTTTGATATTTGTAAAGCATACAACATAGAGGGTTTTTTTTTCCAGGATGAAATTCTGCATAAAAATGATTAGAAACTACAAATGCATTTGTTCCTAAACCATACTCATTTTACTAAAATGTTGTGACCTCATATATTCTTTGCAGAAAACACAAATTCAGACAGCAAAAAAGGAGAGAAAATGACTTATGATTCTCCCACTGTTTTTCTGTATATACGATTTTTTAACTATTCCTGTTATTTCTTCTAATCACAGTCTGTAATATATAGGGAATCATTCTATGTTAGTAATACTAACTAGGTTGCCATTTTAATAGCTGCCTAGTATTCCACAGCATGACAGAGTCATAGTTCACTGCTTCCCCAAGTGATTGATAGTTAGGTATCACCAGCTGGACTTCCCATAAACAGTGCAAGCGTCAAAGGAATAGTTCCTTTAAAAGCAGTTGTACCACAAACATTGGTGCAAATTCGTGTGTTCCTTAAACAGGGCTTTTTTGTATTAATATCCTACTAATGAGGGTAATCAATTAGTGTTGGCATGAGCTCTGTGGAAATACATACCATAATACAGGCTCCAGTCCTGCATTAATCAGAATTAGGGAGATCATTAGAGGTCCTGTCAAATGCCTCTTCTCATTGTCCTAAGGCTGCAGTAGAAAAGTTTGCAGGCTGAGAGAAAAACATCTCTCCCCTTTCCCTCTAAAGATGATCCTAGATGGAGGATCTTCCTTCCTTCTTCTTTCCTTCTTTCCTTTCTTCCTCCCCCTTCTTTCCCTTCCTTCCTTTCTTCCTTTCTTTTTCTGTCTCTTTTTTCCCTTCCATGAACGTCATAAACAGTCACTCTTTAGTCTACTTCTGAAATCTGATCTTAGAAAGTACCCATGTAAAGCGCTCTAGGTTCCCCTTCCCTGTAGCCTCCCCAGCTCCCCACTGGAAGAATTATACTCAAGAGTTCCATCCTGAGCCTTGATGTGAGATGACCCTGACATTCTTTCCCCAACAGCGATCAGGGCAACATTTCCAGTAGCCTCCATATCAAGCTCTATGTGACTTGTGTTCTCAAAATAACACCCAAGAAGAGATGAATCAGGGTGAACCAGGGACTTCAGACTTAATACACTTATAAATGAGCATTAAGAGTTAAGCAATTCATTTGGGCCTGGTGCAAAGTTAAATGTGGGTTCAGGTTCACTGGCTTTAGTCTGAGACCCTGATATTTTGATGGGAGGAAACCAAAAATAATGGCTGGCTTGTAATAAGCATAGACGTTGGTATATTAGCTTATGATGATTAATGCCTTCTTATTGATTTTTATTTCTCACCAGGAAAACTTAGCAAGACTCCAGAGAGCCTTTGCAAGGAAGTGGGAATTCATCTTTATGCAAGCAGAGGCACAAGTGAAGTAGGTGGATGCAGCAGGGACTTCTGGGAGAGAAAAGAACTCTCTAGAGTTCTCTGGAGGTGCTGTAAGGGTGTGGTGGCCACAGCGAGGTTTCCACCCGAACTGGTCTCTCTCATCCCCCGGAAGAGACTGAATAAGTAATAGGAAGACCCTCATGAACAGGTTTCATGGCTAGAACTGAGGTCTTGCTAGGACAAATTTATCAGACAAAGAATCCTGTCAAATGCAGAGCCCAAAGATGCACCTGTTTGCCCAGAGATTTCCAGAAGATGTCTGTACTCAGAGACTGGAAAACACCAGGCCAGGGTCATTGTCGAGCTAGAGGCCTTGACTCCACAAGATAACCTGTTGAAACTTGAGGAGGATATCTTAGTTACTTTTCTCAATACTGTGACAACTTCGAGGAAGACAGGTTTACTTGGGAGTGTGGTTTGGGGGGGGGCGGGTAGGGGTTTGCTACGTCATGGTGGAAGATGTGGTTTGATCATGGGAGTGGCTGTGTGGCAGTGGCTGCTTACATCATGGATTATCAGGAAGCTGAGGGAGCTAGACCAGAACCAGGTCTAGGCTATGCCTCCAAGGGCCTGCCCCCAAGGGACCCACTTCCACTACAGGGCCCACCTCCTATTATGTCACACTCTCCCCCAAACAGCAACAATAGTTGGGACCAAGTGCTCAGAAACCTAGGGGGGGTCCTTTTGTATTTATATCAGAAGAGAGAGAAGTTCACTCTCATCATCTTCCACATAGGAATGAAGCTGAAAACTAATGGAAAACTAAGGCACAGAATTTAGACTTCTGGGGTCAGTGGCTGAAGCTACATCATGAGACATGGCTTAGGAGCTATGTCCTTCCTGGGCAGAGGTGGGTATCTACAGGATCCCTCTGCCAGAACAGAGCTGACTCTCCCTGTACGCTTACCTCAGAGAGCCGATATCCTGAGCTCAGGCTAACCCAGTTTGAGCTTTCTCATTTCCTCCTTCCAATCTCCCAATAGGTTAGCCCATTCATCTTCCTCAAAGGGCACAGATGAACCGACAACGAGAGGTGGAACTGAATTGGAACAGAATGGAGATTGCTTCTTAAGGAAACATGAAACATGGGGAATGAATGCCCCCCCGCCCGCCAAGCCCATAAACAGAGTTGTCACCTAGGCCCATGGAATTCTGGGACACATAATTGCTATCATAGGGTCTCCCTTTTTCCTCACACGGATGGTGTCTAGCGTAGCCAGCGGTGCCAATCGGCAAAGGAGGACAGAAGAGGGATGGGAAGGAGGCTGAGCTGGAAGAAGGAGGGACCTTGTCTCTGAGAACCCCTTGTAGGTGTACAGACCCCATACAGCTTCCGAGAAGCCCTTTCATGCCCTGGGGGTGACCCTACTCAACACCTAGGGTCAGATGTGGGGGTGTGATTAGGATAGATCACCAATGGTCACCATGGGAAATGAACTGAGGCCATCTGGTCCAGCAGCCCGCATGCCCTCATTGCTGTCACTGTCCCTCAGTTATCTCTACTTTTCCCATGTCCGTGATGCCAGCCACCTGCTGGTTCTTTCCCAGCGCAGTGTTCCCAGATGTCCCCAAGGGAAGGCAGACACCAGGTACTAGGTCCTAAGTGACTGCAGGAGACCATCTTGGAAGTAGAAGGTGGGAGAGCTGGTGGGAAGAGGGGCTCAGGTCTGGATGGACTGAGGTAGAGCTGTGTCCAGATGCTCACAAGTCACTGGGAAGCAAAGAGAAGCATGGATTAGCTCTCCCAGAATCCAACAGCATCACACTATGAAGGGGAGGGGGGAACTGTCACTTTGTACATATATGGCCTTTCTCCATTAACTTTTCTGATTAACTCTGTGATTATATAATAATTGTGGGCCATTTAAGTACACAGCAATTATCACAAGAATCACGGGGTGGTTATGGGTTTATTTCAGTCCAGTCAACTAAAGGGCTCCCAAGAGAGCTGAGAACCACAAATCACATGGCAATTAATCTGAGTTGCTTTTTACTTAGATGATGTGAAATGATACATGCTTGGGGGAGGGGGAGGTCTTTTGTGGGCTCCCGATTAGAACACACAGAATCTGGCTTTGCCATTAATAATCCCCCCTACTGCATTTGGTGCCTCTCCTAACTGAGACTGGTGATATTTGTCACTGGGGTCTTGTCACAGGCTAGGGCCATTACTGTGCCTTTAGAAATCCAGATGATTTAAGTGACTCTCAAAACACATAATTGGAGTATTTTACAGACATTTTAACTGCTGTTTAAACTTTCACGTCTGAGATGGAGCGTTGGCAAACAGGTGGCTGTGTCCTTTCTTATCAAGTCACACAGGCAGAATTGGCTCTGGAGTAGCGGCAGACCGATTGAGAACTCGGTCCTTAGTAACCCAGATCTTGATACATCTTGTGGGCAACTCTGTTACTGCCTATTCTTCCTGCCTGCCTATTGTGTTCATGGCTTACAAATGATAGCTCATAATCCAGCCTAAAACAAGTGCTTGCCACATGTGGAGGTTCTGAGGGGCCAGATGTGTGGTAATAGTCTTGGGTTCAACCTTAGCCCCTAGGAGCAGGATCAGAAGAGCTGAGGAGGCAGAGAAAAAAAAAGAAAGAAAAGTACAAACACTTCACACTTCCTCTTCCTCTCTTTACTCTTTCAGGATTGATCGGAAAAAGGATAAGACAGAAAGGAAAATTTTGGATAGTCAAGAACGGGCCTTTTGGGATGTCCACAGGCCAGTGGTGAGGAAGTTCTGCTTGGTTCCCTGCGCTGGATCTGCCCACTCATCCTTTAGGACTGTCTGTAGTGACCAAGTGACTCCTCCCTAAGATAGTTGCTAAGCCTTGTGAGATTGCTCTTTCCATTCCTTCATATTCTCTCCATAGATCTCCTGGGGGGATGTCAGTTCCATCTTTTAAAAATTATACACTGGGGAAAATGTAGGACTGGAAATGGGGAAACAATGGGGATGCCAAGACAGGAATTTTGGAGTTCCAAAGTCTCCATTCCTCCAGATTAGCAATGTTCGTGTCTGCCAACATTAAGCCCCAAGTCTTAAGATACTCTTCTCATATACTGTTAAGCTTTGTCATCTACCGTAGTTAGGGTCTATAAAGTCTTTGAAAACCCTGAATTAGTGAATATTGAAGAATTGCTCCTGGGTGAGCTAACTTCCTTCCAGAAACTGTTCACATATTTTGATCACCATATTTGTGTGAAGACACCAAATTTAATATATGATGCTGACTCACTGTTTTGAACCCACAACTGGCAGAACTGTGGTTCAGGCCAAATCACAGCCATTCTCTTTTCTCCTGTGACACATTGGAGTCTCCTTCACCCTTAGAACACTACACAATACCCTGCTTGCAGACTCCTGAAAAAGGAAAAGTCACCAAGATGAACACAAAAATGTAGAAAGCCCGGCACCAAATAAGCCCTCTAAAGGCTGCTTTATGGAGTGGAAGAGGAAGGCAGAGTTTCTCCCTGTTCAGCCTCATCTAGGCATGGTTATGTAGGGTGACTCAAAATTATTGCTCTTCTGCACGAGTCTGTAAATGGTCATTACACTCTGAGAACATTGATTTGCACATTACAAAGAAAATTCAGCAAGTAGATGAATTCACAAATCAGTACAGAATGAAGCTCGACTATGTCTCTGATTTCACATTATTAAAACAGATCCTGGTTGCCCCCAGGAAATGGAATTGAAAATGAACAAACTATTTCAGCCTTCCTAAAAACTGATTAAAAGCAACAATACCAAAAACAAAAACAAAAACAAAAACAAACAAACAAACAAAAAACAACCCTGCCTATCCTGACATGGGAATTTTTTTTCAGATGGTTAGAGATGTAATACAACAAAGGCTATTCCCAAGGCACTGTGGCCACTTGAAACATAGGTTTGATGGCAGAAATGTATATTAGACCCTCCATAAGGAATCCTGATTATAAGGTCATATTTTGTATTTCCAGTGAGAACTCCACACAGGAACATGCATTATGGCAAGAGAAAAAGATTATGCATTATCTGCAAAGGGAAGGATTAGGTCTGATGGTATTGCTCAGATTCAATTGGAAGCATAATTTTCACTTAGTAATTTATACTATTTTTTCCCTCTCAGCCAGGCTGTGTGAACACAACGGAAATGGATATCAGAAAATGTCGACGTCTGAAGAATCCTCAAAAGGTTAAAAAGGTTCGCTGGTTTGGTTAAATTACCACTTCCTGGTGGGGCTAGCACTCTGTTTCTGGTATTCTTCTCATACTGGTGTTTCCGCTTGTCATTCTGCTTGCACTTTATCTTTGTGAAATCCTTTTATTTATAAATTCTGGAAATATTTGTTGGGTGGCTGGTGTGTTCTAAGCACCGTGCAAATTGTTGGGGTTAAGTTCCAGATCTCAGGATCCCCATAGTCTTGAAGGGGATGAAACCAGAACGCAGGCCACGGGGCTATTGTGCTATGTTAGGAAAAAAAAAATGGGAAAGTGTAGGAGCCCCTGGAGGTGCAGCTAAGGCAGAGTGTGGCTCCCCAGAGGCTTTATATAAGCAGGGTCCCCTGAGACGAAGAGCAAATAGCCGCTGGCTCTGGGGAGGCTGCAGTGAAGAGAAGAAATCACTGGAATAAAACCCGGAAGAGCCTGCAGGCACAAAGGGCTGGGTTCTTAGAAGCAAATGGGAGAGTCTAAACAGGGCTAAATTGTCAAAACCCACATCACCATCTTGGCCTGCTTTGAATGACCCCAGAATCCCTTGTCTCTCACTAGACTAAAACGGGTAGTAGTGGCCACAGCATCTCCATGGAGACCATACTCAGACTTCCTCCATCAATACGCTCACCCTCTCCAAAGACCATGCTACGGGAGAACATGGCTGTGCTCTTAACACTAATTTCAGAAGGGTAGAGTATGTCCCCAAATGTCCCCAAGTCACATAATAACCAAGGATGAACCCAGAGGACTTCGGATCAGAAGCGTTTCAGTGTTTGGAATACTCAAATATGCCTATCAAGCTTAGAGGGTAGGACCCAAATCTGAGTACAAAACTCACTTGCTTCATTGTGCACAGCCCAAAGGTAATGGTACATAATATTTCCAGTGGTCCTGGGTTTTGATCAGAACCTATTCCATGAGATGAGGTGTAGAATTTTCCTCTTGTTTTCTTCTTGTGGTATTTGGGATTTGGTAGGATTTCAGATATTTAGACAAGAATGTGTGTGTGTGTGTGTGTGTGTGTGTGTGTGTGTGTGTGTGTGTATGTGTGTAAGAGAGAGAGAGACAGACAGACAGACAGACAGACAGACACAGAGAGACTGAAACCCCAGGTACATACTTCTTGAGTTTACTTATGTAATTTGTTCATTGGGTAAAATACCCACTTTGCTGTATTTTAAACCTCTAGTTTTAACTGTCCTTACTTAGTCTTTAAGGACCCCTAATTCTAATATCCCAGAATTCTATGAAGCTCTGTGTAGTCATCTGAGCCTTTGTGATTGTATAGAAGCGTATCCTTCAGGGCTGTTTCTTTCCCTGATTATAACACTAGGAACAACTTGACAGCAGCCATAACTGTGGGCTTGTATAGAAACTGAGGCCAGAAAACTGCTTAATTTAGAAGGAGCACTAGTCAGGAAGCCTGGCACCTCAACGTTACACCAGATGGGCGTGGCGTCGCTGACCAGCAGGATACCCATGGGGAATTTTTAATGTACCTTTCAGCTATGTTCTTGAGCTCAGTGTTGACCCCAAATCACCTGGGGTCTTTGTTTAAAGTACAGACTCCCAAACCCACCCATGAGAATCCTGAGTCAGTCCATCTGGGGTGGGTGGGGTTCAGCCATGCACTTCTCTATGGAGGACCCCCAACTGATCTTTGAAGTTAGTTGGCCTCTGGGCTGTTAAGAGAAACAGCGCCACCCAAGGAGACCATTTCCTCGAGGAATGAAGGATTTTTCCCACTGATGCAACCCAAAGAGGATGTGGTCCCTCAAGAGGTCTACCATGGGAGAAATGCAAACAGAGGCCAGCCACGTGGCTGGATGCCACGGAGACAGTTGAAAGAATGAGACAATGGTTTAGCTCCTGGTCTGCTCACAACACTGAGAGTGTGTGCTTTGGATTTTTGCTTCCTCTTCTAGTCAGTGTATGGTGTCACTGAAGAGTCCCAGTCACAGAGTCCAGTGCACATACCAAGCCAGCCGATCAGGAAAACGACAAAGGATGACATTCGAAAACAGGTGAGTGAGTGGGCGTGACGCTCCTGGTGTGATCCATGGACAGCAGAACCCAGCTGTTGGATGACTTGATCCTGTGTGTGACATTTCACAAAAGCTTGAAAAATTCTCCACCAAGCTTCTCTAGCAGTTATTATGTGACTGAGCTCTCCCAGGGGCATACTGACTTTTCAGGTCAAGGCCTCCCAGTGCCTGCTGTGGGAACTAGAGAAAGAAAGGTGAATGTCCCATCCTGGAGAACTTAACATTATAATGAACTTCCAGAGTGCACCAGTTCAGGATCTCTCCCTGTATATTTCTAAGATTCAAAGAGAAAGCATAAGAATAAAAAGAACCCCATCCCAAAGTCATTGCAGCATCCTTCAGTTACATGTTATTTTCTGTCGTGATGAGGAAGCCAGGTTAACAGAGTGGCTGAAGGCATTGCCCCTTTCTGAAGTCTACTCTTTGTTATGCCTTCCTGGCTTCTGACAGGGGTTGGGCAAAGGAATAACTTGAAATGCCTTTCCTTGATAAGCTTATGCTTAGGTGGGAAGAAAGAAAGAGACAGATGCAAAATAGCTATTCGATGTTTCTAGTCAAACACAACCAATACATGGGTACGATTTACACGTGGAAACTAGGCAGAGGAACTGTTACTGGGGCTTAGTATGAAAAAAGATTTTTATAGTATGCCTAATGTCTGTTGCCAAGCTCTGGAGACTTGCAGGCTGTCTTTTGAGTGAATAATTGGGGGTGGGGAGTAAAGATTAAATGATAGTTATGAACAGGTGAAAATTAGACATAAGCTAAATTGTACTCGAATCTTCAGTGTGGCAGGGATTTCCAAAAGGGGAAATTGGTTGTAGGAGTTCCAGCTACGGGGGTGGGGGTGTTGTCTGAGGAGGGGTTTAGACCTTGGTGTGACTGCAGGATTTGGGTTCGTGGGATGAAGGAAAATCAAGTTCTGTTCTGGCCTCAGCACCCATGTTCTCTCTTTCCGCCAGATAACGTTTTTGAACGCACAGATTGACAGACATTGTTTGAAAATGTCCAAAGTGGCCGAAAGGTATGCTGCCCCCAATGGTATTGCCATGTGCTTGTTTTATAAAGGGAAATGTCACAGGGTTCTCCTTAGCAAGTGTGTTCAGCTTCAAGAGTCGGGCTGTAGATACCCCTTAAATCTGATGTGGGAAAACCCAGTCCTGTGTAAGCGTAGCTAAGATAGCAGGCCTCCCTTAAGCAAGACATGCTCTCTTGCTTAAGCTTCCGCCATTGGACCTCGTCAATCAGGGAAGAATGCCTTTAAAATCTCCATGATGGGCCTTTGTCTTCAGTCCTTTGATTCAAATGAGATCACACCCTTTTCAGCTATAAAATGCCCAGATTCATTTTATAAGGGAAAGATGTTATGCGTGCCCTTTGAAGTACTGGCCACATAAACAGCAGAGGACTAGATTCCTGAGAAGCGTCCCTCCTCCACATACCATCAACCACTGGACGGCACTGAGTCAACTGTACAGAAAATAGCTGGCCCCTGCAGCCTGGCCTCTGCAGCAGATCCTGTACTGTGCCTCCACATTGGTAGCTGGTTCCACTCCATGACCACGTGGGAGATTCAATTTTATCAACTAAATGGTCTGTTTTTGAACACTTCGATAAAGAGACCACCTGGGGATTCTGTACGGAATAAATCTAATCAGGCAGTCAGAACTTTACACTTGTTCATCCATAGGCTGCCATTAAAGCACCGCCCAGTTTCGGAAGGGATCCAAGGTGTAAATCAGGCCTTAGTATGTATGGCATATCGGGTCAACTGAGTCCTTTAAGTTTAGATCACACAGGGTACTGGCTGTGTCACCTACCACTAAGGCTCTCTCTGCTGGCCCCTGGCTTAAGCTGCATCTTCTTCCTGAATAAACAATGACAAATGGGAACTTAGAAAACCCCGACCCCAACCCCAAAGTCTGAATTACTGCTGTGCTTGGGACACCAAGGACATTGTGGGTTTGGCATCTTATATGTCTACTTGTATGTGTACCTATGTGCTCCCCCTTACATATTTGTTGTTATTCTGGTGTTAGGTGTTTTGAATCTCACAAACTATAGGCACAAACTATAACCTATATCCCAAGATCTCTGTTGACTTTTCTTTTTTTTTTTTTTTTTTTTTTTTTTTTGAGATGAGAATCTCATTAAGTTACCTGGGATGTCTTTGAACTCTCTCTATAGTTCAGGCAGGCCTTGAACTCAGAATCCTCCTGGCTCAGCCTCCTGAGGAACTGGGTCACCCGCGCCCCCCCCCCCCCGGAATTCCCCACCCCCAGGTCCAGTCTATTTGTATTCATAAAGATTTTTTTAAATTTTTAATTGTGAGTGCCTGTGTGTATGGGGAAACATGCATGTGCATGCAGCTGTCTGCAGAAGCACGAAGAGAACATTGGATTCCCTGGAGCTGGAAGTACAGGTGGTTGTTAGCTGCCCAGTGTGGGTGCTAAAAACCCAACTGGGGTTCTCTACACATGTAGTGTATGTTCTTAACAGCTGAGCCATCTCTCTCTATCCTGTTGGCTTTCTTAAAAATGGAGTTAGTTATTGACATTCTGGGCCAGACAAGTGTTTGTTGCTTTTCTAATGTCCTGTGCAATCTAAGATAAAACAGTATTCGTAACTTCTGTCCACTAGAGGCCAGTAGTGCCACCTCACCATTGTGACAACCAACAGTGTCTCAGGGCATTGCCAAATGTGCAAGGGGACAGCAAAATCGACCCGATTGAGAAAGATGGTGTTCCTGTGCTCTCTGGTGCATAAATGCCTCTGATGGTGCCAGTGGCTGAAGCTCCCACAGCATCCATAGCAATTACTCTGAAGTCCCAGGTCTGGCCAGCTGCAGGCTACAGACTCACTTCCCATCTCCACTGTCAAAATGAGGGACTTCTGGCCAGCTCACCGGGCTCTGAAAGTACTTATTCCTTCTCAGTGAGGTTACCTTTGCCCCCTCCAAAGAGTGGCCAAGAGCAAAGCAGCTGAAGTGGCCTCAGCTTTCCTGTGCCATAGGCGGTGAGGAATGCCAAGGCACAGAAATGGCTGACTGGGCATGGTTCAGTGTCTGTATGCCTGGTTATGTCTGGCTTGGAAGGGCTCAGAGAAGAGAGTGTACACAGAGCATCTTTCATCAGGTTCACATGCCCCAGGCCAGTGTCCTGAGGCCAGAACAGAGAGCTAAGCAACAGAAATCCTCAAACCCCAGCCCTAGGTGTGGACAGAGGAGGACCAAGACAGCTGTACTTTGAGCTTCAAGTGGTCTAATCTAGTGTCTAGGGCTCTGGTGATGCCCTTGTAGCTGCACAGGCCCGAGAACTCCCTTTGTCTTATCTTTGGCATGTGGGGAGAAGCCTGAACCAGTCATCTTGGGAGACCACTCAGAATGAGGTAGGTGATATGAAAAAAAGGAAGAGAGTCTGGCAGGTCCCACTGTTTGTTTACTGGCTGTCTGGAAGGAGCCCCAGCTGGCACGTCTAATTACACTTGAGAGGTGCTCACATGAGGGTACATTCCAACCACAGCTCCCCAGATAGAAACTTCTAGGGGTCCAACCCCAACAGCGGCTGGATTTTATCCCAGGCAGCAATAACTGACAACTCTTCAATGCTACGGGAGGGCTTTCACGAAAGCCACAAGGAAACTCCCAGAGAGAGCAGAGTGAGAGCAGCCAGCTGCTTGCTGGAGATAAAGCCACCCAAGCCTGGCCTGTCAACTGCTGCGCTCTGCCGGGAGGGGCCAGAGAGAGGTAGCCCTGGCAGGTGGCCAGAGGTGAAAACTGAGCTCTCTCAGGTGAGCCACACAGTCCCCTTCTGGATCTGGTTTCCCTGAGCCTGCTCCAGGTGACAAGTGGTAATTAGAATTGTGGCCCCCTGGGGAAAGGTCCCTGCCATGCCATTTTTTTTTTTTTTTCACTTAGTTGCCTAAGAACCCAAGAGCTGAGAAGCTGTTGCTGGTGGTATAGGGTGACCCAGTTCCGAAAAAGCAAGAATTGGGGTGGGGCTAAAACCTGCAGCCAACTGCAAAAGAACACAGGAGTCAGGGGTGTCTGGAGCCTGCCGTAGAGGTTGGCATCCCCTGCCTTGGCCATGCCCTGTGTTCTCAGCGAAGCAAGATGCTCCATCTCTCTCTGCTCTCACTTCTTTGGAAGAGGAGATAGGGGTGGCGGTTAAACCAAGGGGGTTAATGAGTGAGCGCACACTCAAGGGCTGGCTCCAGTCCTTGGCGCTCAGGTCCATCCCTCCGCAGTGACTAGGAAGGACCTAGCCATTTTCCAGTGTGGTGATTTACAGTACTTTTGACAGGAGCAAATTTCAGGTATAGGGGATGCAATGAACTGGATGTAGGGTGCTCCGAGGAGGAGGGAGGCTGGCCTTGAAGATGACAGTGTTGTGTTAATACAATTCTTCGCACAACCCTCTCTCTCTCTCTCTCTCTCTCTCTCTCTCTCTCTCTCTCTCTCTCTCTCTCTCTCTCTCTCTCTCTGTGTGTGTGTGTGTGTGTGTGTGTCCTTTCTCTGACTCTCATTCAGACAGCCCCACAGGCTGCCCCAGGCTAGTGCTGACGCTCACGGCCTGCACAGTTCCAGCCTTCTACCTTGCATACACCCTGTTCAGCTTCTTGTCTTCCGGGAGGGAGGAGTCATGGATGAGGGGACTGGCTCTTTAGATTTTTCTCAGTTCGTTTCTGTTTCAAATAATCTGTCTATGGTCCCCAACAGTGTCTGAATGTCCCTGACCGGTCGGCATCGGTGTCTTCCCAAGCTGCTTCTTGCACTTCTTAAATGTGTAACCCTGTTCTCGATTCAGAAATAATAGTCCCCGTATATACAAATTAACTTTGCAGATAAATACCCATCAACACAGCAATTTTTATCTTAACTATTTGAAGTGATCGTCTCCCTCAAATGTGGCTCACAAACTTGCCTTCTTAAAGAAAGAACACTGCCTTTCTTTGGCTCATTTCTCTAGATAACTCAATCCTGTGTGTTTGCATTTTGCTTTTAAAGTTGTCCTTTAGAGTAAGCCTCTGATCTTAGGAGATGCCACACATGGCTTCCTACAAAATGGCCCTAACTAGTACTGTGTTTTGAGTCTCTGGTTCAAGTTTTTATATGTTGAGGTTTTTTTTGGGGGGGAGGGGGTAGTGATGGTATTTGTTTGTTTGTTTTTTTATTTTGTTTGTTATTGTTGTTTGGGGGGTTGGTTTTTTGGTTTGGTTTGGTTTGATTTAGTTTGGTTTTTTTTGAGACAAAGTTTCTCTGTGTGGCCCTGGCTGTCTTGGAATTCACTCCATAGAGCAGGCTAGCCTCAAACTCAGAGATCCACCGACCTCTGTCTCTGCCTCCCAAGGGCTGGGATTAAAGGCGTACACCACCACTGCCCAATGGTTTGCTTTCTTGTTCCCATCAATATGGTTGTTTCAGTAATATCCTCCTCTCCGAAGACGTATCATCTCTTCCCAAGCTGCAACAGACAAGGCATATCCTTCAGCTGTGGCTGACAAAGAACCTCCAAACTCAGAGGCTTAAAACTGCAGTCACTTCCCTCTGCCCACAGGGAATACGATCTTCCCTTGGCTGGTCAAATACTGCCAAATGCTGCATACATTATGCAATTTCTCCTATGCCTACACACCTAGGAGATCAATAATAACTAACAATAGAATAAGACAATCATAGACAATCATCAACAATCATAACAACAAGGTAAACGCAACCTCTTTTGGAACTTTCACATACTCATGCAAAGGAAGTGCTTTGCAGCTTTTCTTCGGCATGGATTACCTGCATCACCACCCTGTGCAACTTGAGGCAGTATTCAGTGAAATAAGGGACAGCTGAACACCAGCACTGCAATTCCACAACAGTGAATGTGATAACACATGCCGCAACTAAGTGAGTTATGGGAAGGCAGTATATATAGCATGGAAACCCTGGGCAAAATTCATGACTCAGGTGGAGATTTTATCACACCGCTCACTCAGGCCAGCATGTAATTTTAAAACTTACGAATTATTGGTTCCTGG